AAAATGGTTTCTTTCATTTGAAATTAATTTAAAAATTTTCTTAATAGAATTGACTCGCTCGTTGTAAGTTTTCAAAATTAATTCGAGCAAAGTTGGTTAAAAAGAAACTGAACTGAAATCTCGATTTCTTTCGTTCAATTTAAAATTTCGAGAAATTTTCACAAGAGAATTGAAATAGAATTCATCCATATTAATTCTTTAATTAAAAAAAGACTTGAATATCGATTTGAAAATTCCTTATTGCTAAATTTTTCAAAAGAATTTTTGAAAAGAGATCTAAAGTAAGTTTTCTAAATAAAACATTTTCTCAATTAAATAGAATTTGAATTGATTTTGAAAAATTTTAAAAAATGATTCTCGTAATTCTCTCGAAGAACTCGAATCAATCGATCTCTTCTTCCAAAAATATCGTTTCTAATTACAAAAATTTTTGGATACCGGTGTGACTGGTTATTTGTTAAAAGCGTGCGCTAAAAACCGGGTCATCCACTTCTCGCGAAAAATCGATACGAAATGTGGGAATACAGTTCTCGGTCTGACCATTGGTTGACTCGTTTCACTTAGTGCGTGATGGACAAGGCATGTCTCGTCTTCGATCGTTGTGATTCACGTCGTTAATCATCGGTTGCTCCACTTTATCATTAGAAAATTTCAACTAGAGATCTAATTAAATAGTTCATCGAAGAGGAAAAAGAAATTTGAAGTTGGAAAGAAACTTTTAAAGGGCGATCTTAATTACTTAATTCTTCTTAATGAAAAGTAGAATACTTTTAAAAGTATTTCTAAAAATTGTGAAAAGAAAATTTTACTTTTTCTTTTTTCTCTTTAATATTTTCATTTTCTTTGTAACAATTTCACTGTAATTAAATTAATTAAATTAAAAGTATCTAAAATTGTTTCATTCGATTCTATTTATTAAAATTCTAAATACCAAATATCAATGTTAATAATATTCAATTTTTTTTTTTATATATTATTGCTTTCATTAAAGATAGAATTTCTTCGAAAAATCGATCCGTTACGGATTTAATTAGGTACATATATATGATAATAAGATAATAAAGCAAAGTGCAGAATCCAGGTGTATCTGTTTGATCGAGAAATTTCAATGTGACACAATTCGTGGTTTAGGCGACGTTCTCTACCTGTTGCACGCTGCTTTCATAGGAAATTGCCTTACCGACATATTGAACATTGTCATTCCTGTCTATGGACAAGCAACCTTGTGCAGAAATCCTATCACTGTAGGATTACAACGCCACCTTTTTTCCCCTCCCCCCTCTTCCCTCCTTTATCATTATCGGCCTCGCATATGTATGATAAAGCATACTCATTGCTCTCATTTTTATACGTATTTGCACCCGCCATAGTGCAATTTATCATCGTACCCTTCGTTTTAAAGATTATTAGTGTGATGATATTGTTCCAACGAGCAATCATTTAGTTGTAAACGTGATACATGGAAAATATTTGAGATCCTGGAAAATGGTCTTTACAGTCCCTCTTCTCGATTATTTATCTTTTAGAAGTTTAAAAATTGTGATTCTAGAAGTAGAAAAAATTGTATATTTTTTTATTCTATCTAGTGTGAAATTATTCTACGTTTGAATTATTATATAAACGTGGAAAATAAAAATGCATATGTTGAGATCTTGAAAAGGGGTCGCTATTGGTTCTTCTCGATCGATTTCTATTTTTCCAAGAGTTTTTTTTTTTTTTTTCTTTTGGAAAGGAAAATTAGATCGCAAAGAAATTCTGAGGAATATTCGTGGAATTAATTTTCTTCTAGTCTGTGTGGTCTAAAAAAAAAAAAAAAAGAGAAATAGGAATTATTTTGATCAGAAAAGTTATGGAAATGGTGCAACGAAGTCAACAAATTTTCATCCTTCTAATTCTACCTCTTGATTACTTTCGTCGAAGCAAAGAAAAATCTCACGATTTGCCCAACATCTTAATTAAGAGGGAACTATTCATCCATTAGAAATCTCAGGGCGTAATATCAGAATTGATATAATTCCCGACTTCCTTTCATTTTATCCTTTGATTATTTTCATCGAAAATTGAAGTGGTCCTAATAATATACTGAATGTTGTAATCGAAAAAACCTAAAATCCAAGGATCAAATTTTCTAATTTTCTTAATTTTCTCGATTATATTTCAACCAGATAGTCGAAGAAACGAAACTCAGCTATTCGAAATCGAAATACATATTTTTCTCTCGTTCCATTTCTTCTTATAATTCTTTTTTACTGAAAAAAAGAAGAGATCAAAATTAATATATTAATATACAACGAACTTTGACGTTAAAAAAAATATTCGCTTTTCAAAAGACGTTCACACATCTTGTTGTTTCATACGTTTCGTTCTAATATGAACGCGCATCGCGTCAGGGAAATTAATTCTGCTTCGTAGAAGGATACTAAGTGTCTACCTGTTGCACCACGCTGTCAGACGAAGTGGTCTCGATCGTTTTTCGAGAATCGCGAAAGTGAAGGGAGAAATAGGCAGAAAGATAGAGAAAGAAAAGGAAAGAAGAGAGAGAAAGAGAAAGAAAAAGAGAAAGAGGGAGAAAGAGAGAAAGAGAGAGAGAGCACTTGGCGAATGAAAAATTTTACGCGTCTACGCGTAGGAAGAAACCTACTGGTACGTCGCTGCCTTCGCAACTTGTTGCTGGTCGCTCAGAGATCTCTCCACTTCTCGATTTCCGGTGACGCCTCTTGCACACAGGTATGCGATTAATTTTGAAGAAGAATTTTGCATCCATCCGCGAGATACGTTCCAGAGATAAGCATGACAAAGGCGTAAAGACATTTTTCAAATTTTTGTGGTGATGTGGTTTCTGTGATTAATTGCTGTCTTTTTGCAATTCTTTTGAAAGCAATGTTTCGATCGTTTGAATGTTTTAATATTTTCTTAAAAAAAAGAAAAGAAATTTATTATATTTATTATTTTCTATTTCTATATTCATAACCTCAAATTTATTGTACATAAATTATATAATTTCATTACTTATACAAATTTATGTACTTTAGCAATTTCTTCAAACACTTTTTTCTATAATTCTTCTCATCAACGCCTTTTCTACTCGTCTCTATTCTCTGATCTACATTTAATTATGCGCAAAGATACCGTAAATCCTTCCAGTTAAATTTTCTTCTTATATATATTAGCTTGTCTTAAAATTAATTCCTTTTTAATTACGTACACCAAGACATCTCATCTTACGACCACGGTTTATCGATATTCCTTTGAAGAAAATAAAAAAGAGAGAAAGAAGAAAAAAAGGAATTCACTCGGCCATCGTTTCAATCCCTTCGAGCCTGTTTCATTCAGAAAGCTCATCTCCTTTGTCCAGGAATATTTCGTTTCTTTCATTTCTTTCTTGTCTCTACCGATTTTCGATATCTCTCGAATTATCGACTCTCTTGTTGGATGGCTGAAAGGTCAATGTAATTTCCAAATACAACAATTTGGATAATATTTCAATTAGTGATATTTTCCATTTGTGAATTTACTATTTCATCATTATAATTGACAAATAATTTATCTTGTTGACAATTTTATTAATTTTGTGTTCCAAATGATTATGTAATAAAAGTTATTTTACAGTGCATTTAGCCATTAAATTTTGAAACATTTTACATGTTTGTGAAATCAATCGTTTTATGTGCAATAACGTAATAGATACTCGAATTCTAAACGTGAATTTTGATTATCTGATTGAAAATTATCATGAAATAAATTCATATTACGTAATTGCTACAGAATGCAAGCAATAATTACTTTAATCATTTAATTAAATGTGTTTAGAATAATAAAATTCTCTTTCATTATAAAAAATACTCACAATTAATAAATATAAATATTTCGTGTAATAAATATCTATAAAAATATATATAAAAAGAAACAATTAAGAATAATAAAGAACTCTGAAAAGTTTACATTAGATAGAATGAGACAGAGACAGCTTTATCTTCTGTACACCGCCACAACGCGGCGCAACGTGTCATTCTATCTCCATCTCGCTCCATCTAACGCAATCTTAATTCACTTATATCTTAATAAATAAATAAGCCTCGACCAACATCTTTATATCAATTTTTACTTTTGTTTTGGCTTGCACAAACATATTTCACGAATAATACAATATTTTGTATTTAATTTCTCCATCTTTAAAATATTAACCTTTAAAAATATACGAAAAAAGATTGGCTCATTAACAAAATCGAGTATGATTTCTGGATAAAGGATAAACTATTCCAAACTGTTGGCCGACGAATATCGCACGTTTTCACGATACTTCACCACGTCCTTCTCCATCGAACACCGCGAGAGGAATTCGTTCGTTCGAGAAACGCGACAAAGGGACGATGAGGAGAGACGAAGAGGAGGAGTCGGGAAAAATTCGAAATATCCGTCTCGTTGAGTTATGCCCGGACAGGGCAGGGACTCACCTGTTGCTTGTTAATTCGTCGCCAGGGAAGGAGGGTCGAAGGGTGTGTTGGGAAAGAGGGTTGGAAAAAAGAGAGGGATCCGTTCTCCTTTTTTCGTGCAACATTTAAACAATTCTCTTCGACACGCGGCATACGCGAACCTGTTGCGTCGTTAATTTAATGAAAAATTCAGGCTCAACTCGAGCGCCGACCTGGAATTTCATGGAGGAGGACGTGTGGAGGACGTCTTCAGGAATGTCTCGCGCTTTACTCACCTCGAACCAAGCCTTCTTTGTGAAACGCGTTTCGTGAAATGAACCCTGAATAAGGAAGAGCTTGCACTGACATCTTGAGTGTCTCTCGACGATTTTAATTTCGAATGATTTTTACACTTTTATCATTAATCGTTGAGCTCTAATTTGGATAAAAATTGAAAGATTGAATCATGAATAAGAAAAAATTCGAAAACGTGACATCGAACAATTGTTACAATTAAATTTTTCTTAATTGTAGGTGCTGTGGGAAAAGAATTTTCATCGTATCCGTAACACTCACTCTTAGATGATTGATCGTTTAATATTGTGATATTTTGTGAACGAAACTTACCTTTGGATACCAGTTACGCAATTACGGTGAGTCAATCACAATTTTAACCTATAATTATACCATAACTATCCATTATTAATTTTAAGTTATAAGATATAATAATATTTCACACATAATTATGTTGCATCATTTAAATGAAATGTAGTAATTATCCTGAATTGTTTACCGTTTGAAATACGAATGATATTCGTATAAAATTATTCGATATGTATAAACTTTTACCACTTCAAGCAACATCTTTAATCAAAAATCTTTTTTCGTTACTTGCTACGAATAAAACAACAATGTATCGACTTTGTTAGACGAGATTCTAACCAAATTGAAAAGCATGCCCGATTTTATCCGAAGTCAGGTCGGTAGGCAGTGTACCGAGCCACCGCAGGAATTTAATTTAACGAGCAATTTTTTCTCCATCGACTTCAGCAACCAGGAGAATAAAGTTTCGAGAAGAAAAGGCTCGCCAGAGGCATCCGTGTCGCTATCGATCGGTGTGCCGTTTTCGCGTTACGTTCCTCCACTTCCGGTCGATCTTCACGCTGTTGTCCGATGATATTGCTGAAATTAATTGCTCCGTGGTTTATTTTTCTCTCCTTCTTCTTTTTTTCTTTTTTTTTTTTTCTTTTCGAAATTCATTCACTTCGATAACACGAAGATAATATTCCGTTATTGAAACGAAAAAAGGTTGGGTATGACTATCAATGAAGTCATTTTCTATAATGTAAATTAAATTTTTACAATATATATAATTTGTGCTTATGAATATTTCATAATGGATAGGTTTAATCGATAATTTAAATCTCAATCTCGATAAAGTTTAATCAATTATAATTTCCGATCTGTCTCAAATATTTCCACAATTCGAACGTCATACGAATCAGAAGATTCTCCTTCGTAAACGCTGTTAATCTCAAATCGATACGATTTCTCGTTCTCGAGATATCGTCGTTCAAGTCGAGGTATAATTTTGAACGTTCCGCTATCCGGCTGTCCTCGTCGCGCGCTCTCGGTCCTCTCGCTTGCGCTCACTCACCTGACCTATCCTAAACACAGATGGCATAACTAGTCAGAGAGTGAGCGCGCTGACTCACACCTTTTTCCTATTCTTGCGAGCAACGTAACACGTAAGTAAATAGCTCCTGAAAGGAAAAGTAGGTCACGGTGTATCCTCGAATTTCAGCCGCCATCTTGCCATCTCGCGCATTCATAACATGCTCGTATCTCGAAAGTGAATTGAACTATCGATGATGGAACAATATCATATATCGTCAAATAAAAATGCATAAACATTAATTCTGATCGTACAACTGTCTTGGAAAACAACTATTGTTCCCGAATCGATTAATTATTTTACACGTACACAATGTTCCATTATCTAGCTCGGCTCGGAGATTTAGATTTACCCGGGCAAGGTCTCGCGGCAAACGGTGTCAAACGAAGAGCGATAAAGCTTTATTTACGAGGTTCATGATAGCGGAGTCCATTCTGCAGCACATCGTATACGAGAAAACGATTAAGGATGCGCTTTAAGTCGGCCGTCTCCTGGCCGTTTTAATGAACCACCATCCCGGAATTCATTAGGCGATTGTCTAATTAAGTTAATCGACTCGGGCTCGTCTTGCCGTCATAAAAGTCGCGTTGCGCGCCCCGACACCGACGCCAGACACGTTTTCGCCACCGAAATTGTTGCTTTACCGTGGCCTAATGGCGATTCAAGTTATGGCCCAGTTTATTCAATGGCGGATGAGAAGGATTACGAGATTGCTCGGATATATTCTACGTCCTTTATTCCTTTCTCTTTTTTTCGCGTTAGACTTGATAATTCGAAATGTTGGATCTTGTTGAATTAAAGAATATTTTTATCGCTTTCATAAAAGAATATTAACGTCAGAAATTATTTAATATTTTTTTCAAACGAAATGAAACAATGATAATAAAGTAATTGAAATAACTTGTTATATTTAACATTGATATTTTCGTCTCTGTTTCGAATAAAGTGTGTCCAAGTCCAACAATAAAAAACTGTAATCCTTGCCAGGAGCTATTCGATATTATGAGGGATACTTCGAGAGTGGTTTGTCACTTGAAGAGATTTCAACAATAAGGAGGGCAGCTCCACTTTCTGGCAATCGTTTAAAAATCGATTCCTTTTCCAAACCAATGCCATAAATTCATAGTCAATTCATAATTGGGATGAAACAGATTGAAATTCTATTGATTGAATCAAACATCTAATATTAAATTTTTTCGAAATCATTTCGTATTTAAATTATCAAAATTTCAATTCGTTCCATTTAATCGACCGATTCTCCCCGCATGTTATATTAAATTATATTAAATCGTATTTCGACAATACGTAATGGTCATTATCAATCGTCAAAATAATCATTACATTTCCGTACACGATCGGATCAAGTGGCTCGAACCCACACAACCAGGGGAATCGATGGCCAAAAATCCACTCGAATCATCAAATGAAATCGAGAATCCCATCCCCTCCTCCGCCAACCCCTTGCCACAGAGCATTACCACTAATAAGCCCCCACGAGCGGAT